GCCTCGGCCCGCTGGCCTGCTCGGTGCCCCTCGGCTCCGCTCGACTCTGCTCGGCTAGACTCGGTGTCCCTCGGCTCCGTTCGGCCCCGCTCGGCCCTTCAGCACGTGCGTCTCGGCTCCGCTGGACGCCGCTCGGCTAGGGTCGGCTCCGTTCGGCTTTGCTCGGCCACACTCGGGGAAGTTCGGCTTATTAGTGGAGGAGCAAGCTGGCGGAGCTCGCGCGGACTGGAGCAAAGCCCGCGAGCCTGTGCGATCCTGGAGGCCCCCCGTTGCCACTCGGAACGCTCCCCACTCCACCTGACGGGGAAACAGGGCGCTCCACGAAGGCCTAAAGCGCTGACCTAGGGCCAGGCGCAGTGCTGAGCCCTTGATGTCCGGCAGCTCATCGAGGCTCTTCACAAACCCGTCAGGGAGAGCAGACCCGCCGGTAGCACGTTTCACGGGAGGACGCCATGGCCACGCACGGAGTTCCCTCTCGATACCGGAAGTCTTTTCAGAGTATTTACATAGTTGGCCATGTAGCATGAAGTACAAACTCCTCTGGTGTGTCTTTGCAATTTTTTATTCAAGTATACACAGAGAATTACGGATCACAAGTGCAATTCTCGGGTTCTCAAGAGTTCAGAGTTCCGGACGTGGAGCGAGGGCTCTGGTGCTCTTCATTACTAATCCTCTTTTTCAGATGGGGAGACCCGGGCTGCAGGTGAGGGTGCTGGTGTCCGGTCCCGAGCTGCCGCTGCCGCCGCCGCCCCACGGTGACGAGCTCGGGCGACAGAGGGGGTGCACCGGAAGTGTTCCCAGCGGGCCCCGCCCCTTCCGGCTGTCCGATGTTCCGTCGCTCCAGTGCCGGCACACGTAGCGTTCCGGTGTCGGCTGCCCGCCCCGCCCCTCAGCCGCCACCGCCTCCCCAGCCCAGCGCCATGGCAGCTGCGGCCGGGGACGGCGCCGTGAAGCCGCTGCAGAGCGCTATGAAGCTGGCCAATGGGGCCATTGAGCTGGACACCGGCAACCGACCCCGGGTGAGGGGGGCTCCGGAGCCCGGCCGGGGAGAGTGCCGGGGCGGGAGCGGCGGCGACCGTGAGGGATACGACCTGCCGCCAGCCGGGTGGACGGGGATGGGACCGGCCAAGCGGCGTGGGTCACGCTCGGCCGGGGGCTTCGGCACTTGGGGCGCCCACGCCCATGCGACAGGAAGGAAGCTGGGCCCCGCTGGCCCTAGGCCCCGCTGTGCTGTGCCATGCTGTGTGACCTTGGACAGCTCACGGCCCTCTCAGGCCTTTGGTTCCTGTCTCTCCTCAGAGTCTGGGGATCAGAGCTGAGGTCAACTTCACAGAAGGGAACTCAGCAGTGTCTGTGAACTAAGCCTTCGCAACTCCGTATGCGTGCACCCTTTTCTGGGCCGAATCCAGAGATCAACTACCAGGGCTTGCTGGGAAGAAAAAGCAGAGGGTGGGCAGGGTGACTTGTTCTTAGGGTGGGGACCTAGTAGACAGTGGCTAGGCCACAACACACACCCAGGGAGGAGAGGAGGCTTCGTGCCCAAGAAAAGCATCCTGGTTTCTAAATCCTGCCGCTTCTGTTGCTGTGTTCTAGGACAGCAGGTGCCCCACAAGTCAAAACAGCCTCGATGGGGGGAAAGAAGGCATGAGAAGATCATACAGTGGTTTTTAGTACTCTCTGCATGAAGTTCTGACTCCTGTGTGCCTGGGTAGAACTCACCCTGAGTATCAGGAAAGGGATTTCCAAGAAACCTGTGGTAGGACCAAAATCCAAACTCATCGCCATCTAGTCGATTCCGACTCGGAACAACCCTGTAAGACAGAGTAGAAGTGCCCATGTGGGTTTCTGAGAGACTAACTCTTTATGGGAATAGGAAGCCTCATCTTTCTCCCATAAAGCAGTTGTTGGTTTCCAACTGCTGGACTTAACCCCAGGCAAAACTACTATCAAAAATTCACAACATCATCTTCCTCTCTTTTAACATATTTTTCTTAAAATACGTTTTCTTTAAGCTGATGAGAGAATAGCCCCTGAGCCAGGACATAAGCTTCAGAGAGAGTGAAAAGTGAGAGCCCTACTTGGTCAGAAACACTCAGAGGCTCTGCCTTCCTGGCGCCAGCTCTCACTGCCTCTCTGCAGACTTGTAGAAAGAAGTGTTCTGATGTTCTTAGCAGATGCTCACGTCTTTCCCTCCCGAGAAGTCATGGAGACCCAGAACTAAGCGGCTGTGCGATTACCAGCCAGCCACTCCCAGGGTTGCATTTTCCTGGAAGGGCAGCAGGTAAGCACGGTGGAGCCACTCAACCTGCCACTTCTCTTCCCTGGGCACAGGAGGCATATATGGAATACCTGAGGAGCATTCACTACATCTCCCAGGTGCTGCTGGAAGAAGTGGAAATGCCTAAAGGTACAGTTCTCTTGGCTCCTGGCTGTTCCAGCCTAACCAAGGGTCATTAACCCTCAGCAAGTCCCAGGCTTGAGCATCTCCTGGCTGCTACAGCATGAGGCAGGCTCTAAGGGGATGGGCGTTGTGGGCCAGAGGATGAGTGGGGTGGGGCATGATGGGGGTAGTCGGGCACAAAAGCACTCTGGAGGAGGTGACACTGAAGCCACGGAGGATGGGAGCAAACTGTGCCAGGGTCGGAGATTGCATTCCCACAAGGGGGCAGATAAGGCCCCGAGTTGGGAATGGGTGGCGTGGTCATGGGAGGCAGGTGGAAGGGAAGCAGGGACAGCCCAATGCACAGGTTGTGCAGAGCACTGTGGACCTTGGAGTCAGTGTGATGCAAGGGAAAGGCCGAGAAGTGCTGGGAGCAGGAGGTGGGAAGGCACGGCTCATCGCTATTCGTGAGATGTCACAAAAGCTGCACGGCCCATCCCATGCAGGGCGGGGGTCGTCTCAGGTGAAGCCCTAGGTGAGGAGTAAGACAAGACCCTATTTAGGTAGAGGACGCCATGGGCCCACATAGCCATGTGGGAAAGAGCCAGTCAGATGCTGGACTGGCCAGACCCAGAATCTGCGTCAGAATCAAGGTAGATCCAGCAGCTTCCCTCTGCTGGGTTTTCCCTCCCATAGGAATCTGATGAGAAATCTCACTGAAGGGAACGGCCTCTTTGTCTCTTGTTCCCCCAGAAGATGGGGAAACCGTGGCCCCTGACACCTCAAAAATGCTGAAGCTGGCCGAGCAGTGTTTGGAGAGGGCCCAGTCGACCGCTGCCAAACTGGGTGGGTCTCCAGCAGGAGGAAGTGTCCCAGGCAGCCCCAAATCTGTACCCCCACCCCACCCCCCGCCCCCTGTAGAATGTGGAATTACCCGCCTGACCTCTGGCCATGTGTGGCTTACAGGGAAGCCATGCCTGAAGCCAGCCAACCCTGTGACTGCCACAGCGCCCTCTCCCACCAGCCGACACCGCCGAGTGTGCTCAGATGAAGGCGGGAAGCTCTCCCCTTTTCTGCCCCCTGAGATCTTCCAGAAACTTCAGGTGGTGGAGTCCCCACACTCTAAGAAGTAAGAGGGGGCAAAACGGGGTGCGGACTGAGCCTGAGTATTGGGGTTGGAGGCCAGGCAGTAGCAGCTAGCCATGGTAAATGTAGCCAAACAAGGTCCCTGAATGGGAAAACCCTTGTGCCTGCAGAAACAACGGCAAGCCACCATCTTGGTTCATAAGAGTGGGTGACAGCCACCAGGAGACAAGAAACTGTGAGGGCCTGACAGCAAAAACGGGCTTGTGAAGGCTTCAGGCACTGACACAGTCAGATGCAGATTATAGAACAATCACCTTCCCTATCTCTAGAGAAAAATAAGAAACTGTAAAATCTAGAATGAGAAAAATATATTCAATATGACCCAGGAAGTCAAGAATCAAGTAAGACTTCCAGAAATAAAAAAATGCAACTGAAGTTTCCTTTAAAGGTGGAAATAATAATTTTTTAAAACTACCATATATACGCATGTATAAGCTGAGTTTTTCATAACATTTTTAATGCAGTTTTTGTGGTAAAAGTTAGGTACCTAAGTTGATATTCGGGTCAGCTTATACTTGAGTATATATGGTATATTTTCTAGTAGAAATCTAAAAAAAACAATCTGAGTGGAAAAGTTGGCAATGCAGACACAGCTGTAGAGAGGATAATGACTTGGACAAGAAGTCACAGGCACCTGGCATGCTTCATGAAAGGGAAAACCAAGCATCGAAATATGAAAGAGGCATAAAGGCTTTAACATACATGTACCAGTGTTCCAAAAGAAGAAAAGAAACAAAAATAGCAGTCATTATTTTGAAGAGATAATGGTGAACAATTTTCTAGAATTCCTGGAGGAAACCAAGACATGAAAGCAGCCCAGTGAATCTCAAGTGGGACAAACGGGGAGGACCTGCTCCTCCGGGCCTTGATCTAGCCAGACCTCTGGGCTTGCCAGAAGGTGCCACCAGCCCCTCAGTCACCTCATCTCCGCATGGGTTGCAGCTGGTCTGTAGGCCCAAGAATTCCATTCCAGGAAAGAATTTCCATCCCAGTCTTGATTCCCCTGCTTCTACCCTCAGCCTCCGAGAGCAGAAAGGCACACACAGCGCTGGATGCTTCCTGGGGAGTGCCTGTTGGTCACAGACACCAAGTACACATGGTTCTGCCCTTCACAGGTTACAGACTCAGAGAGCTGCTGGCCCACACAGTGCCTTAAAAGAGTTCCGTTTCAGCTGCCAAACATGTATAACCAGTTTTGCATACAAGTCCAAACTTCCGGTTCCTTTGGAAAAGTTGGAAGTCCCTGTAACTTCGGTCCTCCCACCCCTGGCTGCTCCGCCCCTTCATATTGCCTGCCCGGGCCCTCCCCTCACAGCTGGTTCTCTTCTGGCCTGAGAACCAGATGTGGGTTCCACACGAGGCTCATCAGGGCAGGGAAGCACTCCTGCATTTCTGGGGCTTTTCCAGGGAGTTGACACCCCTGGAGGAGGCCTCGCTTCAAAACCAGAAGCTGAAGGCTGCCTACGAGGCCCGCATGGCCCGTCTGGACCCCAGCCAGGCTGTGCAGAAGACGTCCCTGGTGAGTGAAGCCCAGGGAGGGCCTGGGAGTGAGGACGGGCAGACAGGAGTGGTCTCACACATTGCTTCTCTGGCCAGACCCTGTCCCTGCAGCGGCAGATGATGGAGAACCTGGTGATCGCCAAGGCTCGGGAGGAGACTGTACCCTTTCTTCCTGTCCCTGGGGGAGGGGGAGGCACCCAGACTGCAGCCTTGGGGAGCAGAGCTTCAGAGAGATGGGGCTTCTCTCTCAGGGCCTCTTCCCTCACACCCTTCTTATCTGCTCATGCCTTCCTGGCCTCCACACAGGGGTCCCTCCCCATGAAACCTTCCTGGGAATAGCCACCCCCCCCACAAGTAGGTGCTCATCCCAGCCCCCTGGACCCTGTGGGTGCTCAGGCAGGTGTGCAGATGTGCAGGGCCAACTCAATGGCTCCTTGACTGTGCTCAGCTCCAGAGGAAGATGGAGGAGCGCCGGCTGCGGCTACAGGAGGCAGCTAACAGGTAAGCTCCACCCCTCCTTTCCCAATAACTACGCCCCTGTTCTTACCACCTGCCAGCAGGTGTGCCCACCTCCATATCCCATAGGTGTGCCCCACTCCCCTCTCTCAAGTGTGCCCCACTCTCCTCTTTCAACCTTGTTCCACATCGCTTCCCAATGGGTGCATCCACCCATACTCCCAACAGGTGTGTGCCCATCTTCATACTACTGCGTACCCCTTCCTCATTGCCTCCCAATGTGAGTCCCCGACCCCCATCCCCATACTACTGTGTCCCCCATTGCTCCCCACCTCCCAGTGTGTGTGCCCGTTCCCATCCCCATACTACTGTGTCCCTCATTGTTCACCACCTCCCAATGTAAGTCCACAACCCCCATCACCATACAACCACGACCCCCATTGCTCACCACCTCCCAATGTGAGTTCACGACCCCCATCCCCATACTACTGTGTCCCTCATTGCTCACCACCTCCCAGTGGCTGCTTCCTATCTCTACCTCTCAACAAATGTGCCCCTTACTACCTCCATAACCCCTGTATCCCCAGGGGGCATCCCTGTGCCTGACCCCAGGGTGCTGTGGGGAGGGCTCAGCCCCTGCTAGCGGCTCTTCCCACTCAGGAGGTTCTGCCGGGTGGCCCTGAGCCAGGAGGAGCGGGAGCAGCGGGCACTCTATGCCGCCGTCCTGGAGTATGAACAGGACCATGTGAGTGCACAGCCAGCCGAGCCTGGGTAGCTTCCCCGTACCCTGGGAAGTGTGAGGCCTGTGCACCTGCCCAACCCCCTGTCCTGCAGGACTGGCCGAAGCTCTGGAAGGCCAAACTCAAGAGGAGCCCTGGGGACCTGTCGCTGGTAACCAGCCTAGTCTCCCACCTCCTCAGGTACCAGCCCCACCCCCACTGTGCCCTTGATGATCTTAGGGTTCCTGGGAAAGTCAGAGGAAAGCAGTGACTGCCACCTCAGAGGGAGGGAGGGAGGGAGGGAGGGAGAGACAGGGTGCAATGAGCTGGGGTGGAACCCAGGGTGAGGGGACCCCGAAGCATTCCCAGTTTGCCAGAGTCTGGGAGAGGTGGGTGCTTCAGGTGAGGGTCCCCCATGGACATAGGACGGAGTGTGCGAGCTGGCTCTCCTGCCCGCCGCCCCAGCCTGCAGCCCGCGCCTCCCCCACAGCCTGCCTGACCACCCCGTCTCGCAGCTCCTGCGCAAGCTCCAGGGCACGGTGTATGGAGCACTGTACCCGGTGGTGAGCAGGGCCACACTGGGCGCCACGCCCTCCCCCGGCTGCTGCTCCATGCCCTCGGACAGGAGCCGGCGGCTGCGCACCTCCCAGAGCCTCCACTGTGTGCTGTGTCCCCCGGAACCCATTGCACAACCACCAGATGTGGCCCCTGACAGAGGGGCAGATGACAGCCCGGTGGGGCCTCCTTCACCCCTGGGGGACTCTGCGTCCCGCCTGCGGGACAAGGATGGCTCCTTCGAGGACCTGGAACAGTTCTTGGCCACATCAGAGAGGTGGGGCCTGGGCCCCAGGGGGTGCTCTGAGGCGCAGAACCCCCGAACTAGGAGGGAACCTTTGCACGAGCAGCAGCTGAAGAGCATGGCGAAGGATGTCCACGAAGCCATTGGTGTGGATGGGGGTCACCCAAGGGTCGGGGTCAAGGTAGCAGGGGACCCAGGGATGGGGGTTTCTGACAGCTATCGGGGGTCCCCCACCAGGTGTGAGGCAGTGCCCTCCACACTCTGAGGACATGCTCAAGACCCCTCCCGTAGTCCCAAGGACAGACTCTTTCTGAACAGGCAGCCCCCCACCCACACCTTTCTCAGTAGTGACATAGGGTGGGGGCAGCCGGAGCCAGGCCAAAGGCACCCTCCCCAGATGCCAGCACACAGCCTCAGGAAGAGGGTGGATTTGAAGGTAATGAGAGGGGAGGGTCCAGGCCAAGGACTTCTTCACGACAGAGCCAGCCCAGGGGGAGAGGTCTTGGGCCTGGGAGGAGGGGACCTTCCCTGTAGAGAGGTGGCCATGTGTCTGAGGCCCCACTGCGTCTGGCTGTGTTGGGGTGCCAGGCCCAGGTGCCCCACCGCTGCATCTGCCCCTCTCTGCTCCATAGACAGGCTGCTCTCATTGACCCTGCTCGCCTTCGAGGGCCTGAACACGGCTGTTGCCAAGGACCGCTGCCTGGCGAGGCTGGAGGAGGCCTTCTTCTCCCCGCTCTGGGCCCCTCTGCTGGCCCTGTACAGGTGGGGCCACCCAGTGCAGTCCACGGCTCTCCCTGCAGCTCTGCCCTGTGGCACTCCTGTTTGCAGTGCCACCCTCCTGGGGGCAGGCTGCCTGCTGAGGGGCAGACCAGCTGCTTTCCCAGTCGATGCCCTGCCCTGGCCACTGTGCTCTCCACTGCAGACCAGCGGCAAAGCCCAGCCCCTCTCTGCCCTAGGAGCGTGCACCAAGCCCGGGAGGAGGCCCTAAGCAGGAGCATGGAGCTCTATGGAAACTCAGCCCCCACAGCCCTGGGCATCCCGGCCAAGCTCCTCCCCCAGGTCACTGGGGCTCAGGGCGCAGGTGCCTACCCATACAGCTCTGCAGTGCAGGAGCTGGGCCTGCTGGTCCTGGAGAGCTGCCCCCAGAAGAAGCTGGAGTGTATCGGTGAGGGCGGGCTCTCCCTCGGGACTGGGCCCAGCTCTCCGAGCTGCATACCCCTCATGCTGCCAAATGGGTATCCCTTCCCCCAGATTGGACAAGGGCTGTGTGAAAGGTGTTCCCAGGCAGGTCCCCAGCCCTGCACACTGCCCTCTGGCCCAGAGAAGGCTTTGTATGTGGAGGGTCAGGGCCTTGGGTCTCGTTTAGCCCTCATGGCCCTGCTGGGCACCTGCCCTAGCTCCCCACCCCACCCCCAGCCCGCCCCACACTGTTCTCAGGAAGCCTGTCTGCTGCAGTGCGAGCCCTTCGGCTCATCTGCGCCTGTGCCGAGGACTGCTGCCGTGCCCAGGAGGCCAGGGCCCCGCCAGCTGCTGCCGCCATGTGAGTGAGGGGTGGAGGCCTGGGCTCCCACAGAGCCACTGTGTCCTCTGGGGTCAGAGCCTTTCAGTTCAGACCCTCTAGTGAATCCAGGGATATGCAGGCTCTCCGATCCTCAGGGTGGGGTTAGGGGGTGGGTGGAATAAAAGACCCGAGGTCTCCCACCCTCCTGCCAGTGGCAGGAGCCATGGGCACCTACCCTCAGGGGTCTAACCCTGACCCCAGCCTCATCCCTGGGCATACTATGAGGGTCCCTGGAGCCGCAGACACAGGCACTGGAGGGGGCTCCCCAGGACCCTCAGGCAGCTGTGCCTGTGCTGGCAGTGGTGCCGATGACCTGCTGCCTATCCTGTCCTTCGTGGTGCTGAAGAGTGGCCTCCCCCAGCTGGTGTCTGAGTGCGCCGCCCTAGAGGAGTTCATCCATGAAGGGTAGGCGCTCAGGGCTTGCACAGCGACAGCACCCTCTGCCCAGCATCTGCGGGGGGTGGGGTGGGGGTGCAGGCATTGCTCTGTGCCCTCCTCAGGGACAGAGGCTTGCTGAGGTGGTGGCTCTGCTCCATGAGCACCTACCCCACCCCCACCCTATTCCAGGTACCTGATTGGAGAGGAGGGTTATTGCCTGACCTCACTGCAGAGCGCCCTGAGCTATGTGGAGCTCCTACCCCAGAGGGCCCTAGACAAGTAACCAGGGGTCCCCCCCACCTGAGCTTCTTGCTTTCACTGTGGACATGCTTCCAGGCACTCTCCGTGCTGATGCAGGCGGGATGGGCAACTGTGGAGGCTGTGCCCCCAGCCCTTCCCTCGCCCACCACCTGCCTCCAGGCTTCACCCACGAGGGTATGGGGACCCCTAACAGCTCCCAGGAGCTGTGCCCTTCTCTCCTGCCTGGCTCTGAGATATCATGACTAGAGCCTGCAGCACCAAGGGGCCCCTGCCCCCACAGTGAACTTTGGGCCCAGCACAGGCCAGCTGGAGAAGTCCCGGAGCAGTTTGAACGGCTGGGCATCAGGGCAGAGGAGGGCGCTCCTGCCCGGCCGTGTGTCACCGCTGCCCTGAGCCAAGAACCAGAGCCTGTGGAGCCGCTCCGAGCTTAGGACTGGGTGGTTTATTTATTGGACACTGACTACTCTTCCCCTGCTCCTGCCCACTCCCCACCCCGCCCCCGGGGACACCTGAGCCCACGGGCATCCCATTGACTCAACATACAAACCTCACCTGGGCCCATGTCAGATGGAGGGTTCTCGATGCCCTACCCAGTGCTACCTGCTCCATAGGGCTGGGCAGGGGAACAGGGACCTGGCCAAGCAAAAAATAAAGAGTGACTGCTGTTGTCACCCTGCCTAGCTCATTCTTCCCAACCCTGCACTTCAGGTGAGTCAGGCAAGAAGGCACAGCCACCCTCCCTGCTGACTGGGAGGCAGAATGGTGGATGAGGGGCTAAGGGGAGCATGAGCCTCCTGGGAGACTGGGCCTCACCACACCCTGGTCCTTAGTGGGCTATCAGGCATGAGGCTGAAGTTCCAGGTCTTCACTGAGCAGGACTGAGAGACCAGAGCACTGGCCCAGAAGGGCTCTCAGGAACGATTCCCCTCCCAGTGGAGAAACAGGCTTGGGGAGCCTGGATGTGGCCTCAGCCTTTGCCTGCTGGCCACCCTTGTGCTGGAACAGTGATGGCTTGGGGTTAGCTTCAGAGGAGAGGCTCCTTGGAGGGTAGCCTTACCACGGCCTCATGGGTGTTGGCATCTGGGCACCGAGGCCCTCCAGGGGGTGGGCTGCTGTGGCAGGATACTAAAGGTGCTAGACCCCCAGAACTGGGTGATGGGGACAGTGTTTGGTCTCCTCAGGGAGAGGGGCAGCAAACACTGGCTCTCTACAGCTTATAACCCACATACCGACCTTAGTTGAGGCAGAACCTCGGCCAGGCCAACCTGGTGGGCGGTAGGAGTGGCTTGGGGGGGGGGGGTGTGACCAGCCCCTGACCCTACACGGGCCAGCTATTCCTGGCAAGAGTCTCCCATGGCAAGGGTGCGCCGAGCCAGGGGCCCTTCCCCAATGCTCCACCTGACAGGTTGGCGTTGCCCTTCCCGCACCCCCATCCCCACATCCCCCGTAGCTGCCGGATCCCGAGTATGCGGCCCACAGCTCCTTGGGCAGCTGGCTGCTTCTGCTTCTTGAGCCTCCCCTTCTCCAGCCAATCTCCCTCCAGGCCCCACCGACCCTGGGACAGCGGAGGGCGACGAAGGCCACAGGCTCAGGTAGCAGGTGCTCAGTGGGGTGGGGCTCCTGCACGCCACCTCGGGGTTCGCCCCGAGGCCCTGCCCTCCAGTCGGCTCCGCCTAGACAGTGCGGCCAAGGGGCGGTCGCTGGCTCAGGCCACGCCCCTCTCGCGTCACTTAGTAGGCGGAGCCAGCGCCTGGTGGAAGAGCGCTGAGGCGGAGCGGCTACAGCTGTTCCCGGCCGCTAGGGACTAGCAGGGACGTTTCTGGCTTGTGGGCCTCACAGAATGGTCGGGTGGGCTCTGGGCTGTGGTCCAGGAGGGCTCAGTTGAGGTCCCGAGCCTTCTGAGGGGCGCTGCACATACAGAGGTGGGGCGCTCAACTTGCAGGAGAGGAGTCTCCAACCTGGGGAGGCTGTGGGTCCTAGGGGTCGCTCGGCCGCGGGACCGGGTGTGAGGCGCTGGCGCCGCCTCCGCCCCTTTACCCGTAGGTCCGTGGGGCGGGCACTCCAAGCACCGGAGCGCTGTAGATGCCCGGCGGGGTGCCACCGCTGGAGAGTTGAGGAGGGGCTCGGCTGACGGTGCGGGGTCCGGCCCCCCACGCTCACTGCCCCCAGGATGGGCAGCACGACGCTGTCGGAGGACTACCGCCTCTGCCTGGAGCGCGAGCTGCGGCGCGGGCGCGCGGGCGTGTGCGGAGACCCCTCGCTGCGCGCCGTGCTCTGGCAGATCCTGGTGGAGGACTTCGACCTGCACGGGGCGCTCCAGGACGACGCGCTGGCGCTGCTCACCGACGGCCTGTGGGGCCGCGCCGACCTGGCGCCCGCACTGCGCGGCCTGGCCCGCGCCTTCGAGCTGCTCGAGCTGGCCGCCGTGCACCTGTACCTGCTGCCCTGGAGAAAGGAGTTCACCACCATCAAGGTAGGGGCGTCCCTCATGCGTCCAGGGACCAGCGTGGAGTGTGTTAGGGCAGCACCCTACCGAGGCCCTGAGCTCGTGGTGGATGGAGGAGGGCTGGCCTAGAGGGAACCCCAGTTGTCACACGTTCCCTGGAAAGGCACAGGGGAGGAGATTGAGGTCACTCCGATCGATCCGTCTCCCAGAGCCCCGTTGACGGGGGAGGAGACTGAGGTGGCAGGGAAACACCAGGTGGGGGAGCACCTCCAGCGAAAAGACTAGGAGCCAGGGGGAGATGCCCACCTGCTGGCGGCTAGAGGGGGCAGGGTGACCCTGAGCTAATTCCGAAGAGTAGGGCGGATGATGTCACCGAGCACGTGGGCGAGGTACACCTCCGCTGGTTGCCTTGGCAGCGGCACCCTCTCTCAGGAGGTGAGAGTTGGAGCCTGCCGGCTCCACACTGACACCTGCCAGCCCCAGGTTCTAAGACTTAACTCATTCATACTGGAGCAGCCCAACTGTGCCAGCTCCCACCTTAGGCAGGCACTGAGGTCCGGAATGGAGATGCCTGCCCTGGGGGCAATGACCAGAGGCATTCGTGAGGCGGACCCTGTAGAGCTCCTGGCCCTTTCCCTCCCTGCTACAGGGCTTTGGGCCTGTCATCCTCTGAAATGGGCCTGGCTGGTGAGAAGGGGGGACGCTGCTGGTAACTAGCTCCTCCCTTGCAGACCTTCTCTGGGGGCTACGTGCACGTGTTGAAGGGGGCACTCTCTGAGGACCTTCTCACCAGGAGCTTCCAGAAGATGGGCTACGCTCGCAAAGACAACCACAGCCTCACCGTGACAGCACCAGCCCCTGCCAGGCAGCTAGTGCAGGTGGCCCTGGGCTGCTTCGCACTGCGCCTGGAGTGTGAGATCATGGATGAGGTGCTGGCCCGGCTGGGCACCAGCCTGCTACCGGCTGAAGCCCTGCTGGAGGCTCGGCGAGCCAGTGGAGATGTGGCCTCCTGTGTGGCCTGGCTGCAGCAGAGGTTAGCCCGGCCAGAGGAGCCACCGCCCCTGCCCCCCCGCAGCTCCCTGGCCGCCTTTGGGTGCCCACTGGACCTGTACCGGGACCTGGCTGAGGACGAGATCTCAGAGGAGGAGAGCAGTCTGTATTGCCAAGCGCCACCTCAGCCCATGAAGAGCAGCCCCTTGCCAAGCGCCACCTCAGCCCATGAAGAGCAGGCCTATGAGACACCCCTCTGGGAGCAGAGCGCCCAAGTTTGGGGTATTGGAGGTCCAGCATGGGAAGCCTCGGCCGACAGTCCGCCCTATGGGGCCCTGGAAGAGCAGCCAGAACCACCCCCCTTCTCCTTCCTGACTTTGCGCCAGGAACTGGGCCGGCCAGCTGACTTTGCCAGTCCCGAGGACTTTGCAGGGCACAGCTGCTTGCGGTCTGGTGTGCTACAGCCATCCCTAGGCGAGCCACTGAGGCGCCCATGGCTGTCACGCTCCCGAACAGACACCCTGGATGGTGCCCCTTGGGCCAGACCATAGGCCCCAGCGGCAGTCTCGGAGCTCCAGGAGTTATAGGGGTGGGTGATGGTGCTATCAGGGCGTGGCCTCTGAAGGCCCGGCCTCTGCCCACCCCGGACCACATGAGGGCAGAGGCCTCTCAGGGTGGCCAGGACTGTGGGACCAGCACGCAGCCTGTCCTCAGGGGCCAGCCCTAGGCCTGTGCATGCTGGGCAAAGAGCCCATCTGTCCTAAAAGGGTCCCTGCCCTCCTTTGATGCCTTGTCCCCCAGCTTTGCATGCAAATTCACACCCCACCTTTAGGAATGTATCCTCCCAGATGGGAGACCTAATGCCCTCTGGGCTCTCGCCCCCCTTCCCCCCCCCCCCAGCCTGCTGTCCAGGCGCTCACAGGGAGGGTAGCCATGGCTGAGAGGGACATGAAGCCTCCACACCTGGGCTGGCCCCACGACATTATCCTGACAACCAGGGTGTGGGGTCCCAGGCTGGAGGGGCAGGTGGACATGTAGGTTACAGCTGTGAGCTTCGGCAGTCCCTGTTCCCCTCACCTAGCACTGCACCTTTCCTACCCAGCACCCTCCTCTCCCCTCCCTAATCCTCAGGATGACCCCATGTGGCACACAAATTGCAACCTCAAGGACATTAAACGAGTGACTGCACCCACAATAGATTCTTTATCTGGAGTGGCTTGGGGACAGGAGCTCCCAAGACCGGGCACCCAGTTTCCAGGCACTTTATTCTGTCATGACCAAGACCCTGCCATTCAGCCCTCCACCCCCAGGCAGTCCTGGTGCCTGGGGTCCCAAAAGAAGCTTCCATGGCTGTGGCCCCACAATGCATCCACTCGAATCTTCCACCTGAGGCACACAGCAGCTGTCTCAGTAGAGCTGGGCAGCAGCAGGCTGTCCCAGTGGAGCCACCACACCTCAGGGCTGCAGGCGCTCTGCCTCGTCCAGGGTGAGCTCTGTCTGTCTCCGAGCCCCTCATACTCAAGGTGCTCCTGGTCTGGGGTTCCTCAAGGCCTGGCACGTTTGCTTGGCCCCTCAGTGGCGGTGGCAGTGGCAGTGGTGGCAGGGGTGGCCCGCTTGTTACGGTGGTGGGGGAAGGTGGGCATCAGCTCTGGCTCACAGGCTGTGGGGAGAGGCCTATTCAGTGCCCAGAGACTAGGCACCTACCTGGACCAACCATGAGCTGGGGTCTGCCTGACTGAGCCTCAGGGACAGGGTTCTCCATGAGGCTATGGCCCCAGCACTTGCTAGAGGAAAGGGGTTGGGGCTGGGGGCACTCACGCAGGGGCTTCTCCTTAAAGTAGGAGCTCTCCAGGCAGTCCCCCGCTGTCGCCCTAGGAGCAGACTTGGTGAGAGCTTGTTCCTTTCACACCCCGCCTGCCCCGTCAGCACTTCTTCCCCATTCTCAGCCCCAGAGGAGGTGAGTGGAGACCTTTCACTGTGTCCCGCTGTGTGTCTTCGTCCCCCTCCCCCCAGGAGTGCCAAGGACCACTCGGGGCTGGGCAGAACCCAGCGTGAGGGGTTAGGCAGGGCCAGCCAGGGTCAGCACCTCTTCTTGGGGTCATACATGAAGAGGAAGTTGAGGAGGCGCAATCCAGCCTCAGAGAGCCATGGGAACTTGTGCTTCAGGTTGTTGTAGGGCTGCCTCCTCAGGGTGTACTGGCCAGCCAGGGGCAGCTTTGAGAAGCCCTAGGGGTGGGGAGAGGTAAGAGTGATGGTAGGCCAGGGGCAACTAGACAGAGGATCCCGGATGGCATGTAGAAGGTACCCACCGGCCAGATGTTTTCGCTGGGTGTCCCCAGCAGCTGCACGATGAGGTCAGTCTGGTGGATCTCAGATGAGCCTGGGAGAAGTGGTTTGTGGGCCAGCAACTCAGCCAGAATGCAGCCCACGGCCCTGGGGCAAGGGAATGGGCCTTGCTTAGAGACACACACACATACACTCCACTGACATGCCTACCCAGGGCTGGGGCCACAGCAGCTCCCCAGGCTGTGCCCTCCATGCTAAATCTAGGGTCTCTCTTCTCCCACTTCCCACTAAGCACAGACCTTGGTCTCTAGGTGCCCCCACCCCACGGTCCCACTCCTCACCACATGTCGATACTAGTGGTCTGTGTGAGGGTTCCCAGGAGCAACTCAGGGGCTCGGTACCTGCAGGACAGAAGCCCCCCTCGTGTATGGCTCGGCTCACCTTTATGTCCACCCGCCACCCGGAACTAACTTCTGAGGCATAGCAGCCCTGCCCGACTCCTAGGCCCATCTGCAGAGGGGAGGTAGGTACTCTGGATGGAGGATGGAGTGGGATCCCGGCAACGGCAAAGCCATTCTCTCAGCCCCATCTGACTTTGTTCCTGGAACTGGAATCATCTACGGAAAGTCTCCAGTCTCGCCAAGGCAGCCCCACCTCACGCCTGGTTGGATCATGTAGGTTTGGGAAAGCAGGAAGCTCCCTCCTTGGATGGTTCAGCTGGTCCTGTGCCAGTGTGTCTCTGAAGCTTGGCAACCTCAGAATCTCTTTGGAACTTCAGCCAGCCAGCCTCAAGCTGCCCCTGCACCAGGTACTCCCAGGAGGTGAGGGGCCACACTGATGTGGAACTCACCACAGCGTGACCACCTTGGGGGTCATTGGTTTTACAGGGACACCGTAGGCCCGGGCCAGCCCAAAGTCCGCTGAAATAAAGGGAGAAAGAATTCAGAGACCAGAGCCAGGCACCAGGCTCCCTGAGTCCTTGGGTGACCATCATGGCAGCCCATGAGAACATGTCAGGTACAGCACCGACCTGTCTTCACACAGCCCTTGTCTGTCATGAGCAGGTTGGAGACCTTTAAGTCCCTGTGGGCAAGAAACAGTGAGTGCCTTGTTGAAGTGGGAACCCATAATGCAGTGGCGGTAATGCCCCCTATTTGTCACATTGCAGCCGACAACACTGCCGGGGACAGACAGGTGTCTGAGACACTTTACTGAGGAGACCCTCCAACTCTCCCAGCCCCGCCTCTCCTCAGCCAACTGCCATGCACCACAAGCCGTTCAGGGAGACTGCACTATGGTACTGCTAGACCTCCTCCTTATACGGCAGTAAGAGACCTCCCACTGCAATGTGGCCCCGCCACCCTCCCTAGATCACAGACCCATTTCCCACCCATGCAAATATCCCAACAAGTCCCCGGTGCCCCATTGGGCCCACCTGTGGATGACAAAATTCTTGTGCAGGTACTGGAGGCCCCTGAGCACCTGCAGAGTGATACACTTGACCTGTGGGCCAGAGGTCACCAGTCAGAATGGGCTTAGGGACAACTGTGGCAGTCGCCACAACAGCCTTGGGGGATCCAGGGTCTGTGTCTGGTGGGGCTCAAGCACAGACGGAGGTGTTAGAAGCCCTAGCTCTGGAGCAGGGGGCCTGGAGTGCTCCTGACCACCCACACCTCACTACCTCCAAACCTCACCACACCCACCAAAACTCACCAGCCCCCTAGTGTGATGCCCCTGCACTAGTGTGATGCCCTGCAGTACACAACACGCTGGCACAAGTGTATAGAGGAACTTTCACCATTAGCAAGAGCTAGTAGAGCCCTCTCCTCACCTGGGCCTCTGAGAAGGGCGTCGGCATATTCTCCAGGAGGCTGGCCAGATCCTGTTCACAGTAACCCATCACAAGGAAGATGCTGGAAGAGGAGACATATGCCATTACCAACCACCCTGCCCAACGGGGGCAAAGGGCCTTTCCAAGTCTGAAGGGGCAGGAAGATGAAAGGGAGAGAGCCATCTCAGGGTGCAGGGAAGGGAAGAGGCTGGGGCCCGAAGCTAGAGGGGAGGGGCTGGAGGGGGAGGCTGCGCACCTCTCTAGGTGGTTTCCCACAACCACCTCCTTCAGCTCCACGATGTTGGGGTGGCGGAGGCGCAGGAGCAGTGTGATCTCCCGCAGGCTGCTGATGGGGATCCCTGCGCCGCACACGGGCCGGGGTGAGCA